ATTTACTATTAAATATTAAATATTTATAAATATTTATAAAATATATAATATTAAATATTTATTTAAATATTTATACTTAAATATTTATTTAAGTCTTCCTTTCTTTTCTATTAATATTAATAAACTGAGAAGTGTATTAAAAAAACGATAAAATAAAATAAATAAATAAAAAATAAAATAAACGATCGAATTGTATTTCAAATTTTTGCATATTAATTCACTTTTGTAGAACTTTTTCATAAAATCCTTTCAACGAAACCTACAAGTACCATATAATTGACAATTAAAAATTGTAAGTGTCGGATTACCTCCGTTATTCTCCTATTTGATTGTGAATCTTTTCTTGAAATTTTACCGTAATTGTCATGAATATGGTTGAAAGGTACAAATCAATCTTTATCAGTTAACCAAGGGTTTCATTCTGATAAATGGTTTCTGATAATAGGAAAGAAAATACAGTTGCTTAAGGTGTTTCTATAGCTGCAATATAAATAATACTTCAAATATTAAGAAAAAAATTTTTCGAATAGATAGTATTTGTCACGGTTTATGAAAGAATATAATTTGCTATTCTCAGTTGTAAAATATTGCCAAGATGATTTCTGCGGATTTCCTTGGTGGCTAATAGGGGAATTTGGGAAAGCAATTTAGATTACTCTTATCTTATTTGAATGAAAATAGCTATAATAATAAGCGATTTTTTTAGTGCATTCAATTTACGATGCATGTGATCGCCTGCATTCTCGGATTAACTAATTCCAAGGAAAAAATTTCTCCATACAATAAAAATATTCGATTGGCTTCAGCGGGAATTAATTAAACCGAATTTTTTTCTTAAATTTTATGATATCAATGGTTATAAGTGCAATAGTTATAGGTCCAAGTGCACCGACAAACTCTCCAAAGAGATGCTTGGATTATGGTGCAGAATTATGGAACGATAACTTTCTGCAACGATCCTCGAGATATAAGGAAAGTTTTTGCAATTAGTGCCCCCCCCCCCCTATTCCTACTAATAATAAAGCATAAAATGAAATCTAAAGCATTTTGCGTTTTTTCAAATTTTCTTTTTTGAGCAATTTTTTGTGATGCATTGTAGAATTACATAAGTGATTTTAAATATTTCACTATTCACTACTATTATCATTTTAATACTTTATATTCTACCATTTTGGTACCAAAAAAATGATTAAAATTGCAAAAATGTTTACCGCAGAATTAAACATACATTATTATAAAATGCTTCAACTGAGTCGATCGATCCAATTCATTGTTTGAATAGTTGCAAAGTGAAATGATTTTAATTATTCAAATTATAAAAATATTCTAATTTTTCAAATCGAACAATGTATTAAAGAAATAAATTGTTTATTCATTATTATTATTCAGCTCGGATTGTTTCCTTTACTATTTGTTTTTGCTTCCATTCTTCAGCGAATGAATACCAATAAATATTTTATGCATTTTAACCCACAATTTTGTAATTTGCCTGCCAAAGTAAATGGGAAAGTAAATGCGAAAATGCAACTATTAAATTTTCTAGCGAAAGATTTATTTTAAAGCAAAAGAAAACACAAATGAAGGAAAAAAATGCATTAAAATCGAATTCTAACTGAAAACAACGCATTGCAGTTTGGACAAAAATGAAGTACGTCTTTGCATGGACGTACAACAAACGGCACAACTGCTAGCGGAATAAAAAATAAACAACCAATAATAGCCAAAATCCATGTGAGCCGACCCGTAATAAATTTTTGCCGAGTTCGCACTTTACACTGAAAAACCATTCGTTAATTTAAAATTGGGTATGAAATACCTTCTAATCGAGACATGGCTCAAGCAAAACCACTAAGCAATCTTGTCAAAACTATCATAGTTTATAGGAATGTTTATAGGAATGGAACTTTAATAGGGAAGAGAAAAATTTAACTGCGGTCTTAATTATTATATCTTATTGGCTATTGTAACTAATTGACGAAATAAATTTAAATTTTACTGATTCAATTTTATTGATTATACTTTCAACTATAAGGTTATTATTTAAATAATGAGAATTTGGAAAAATTATACTATAAATTTTTTTAAAAGATAAGAATGGCCCGTTGCTTTTTTTTTACAAAAATTATAAAGCAGAAATAATAAGAAAAGTCGTTATCAGCGAAACTTGCAAAAAACCTACCCGGCATTCTGGACAAAGTTCATCATACGGCTTAGCCGTACATACTTTTTTAACATGAGGTGGATTAACATCATTTTTATCAGCCATTTCTGAAATTTTCATTTAGCTTATGATCATTACTTCAATTTTTTAGCACCAATAACACCGTCATTTTTATCAGCCATTTCTGAAATTTTCATTTAGCTTATGATCATTACTTCAATTTTTTAGCACCAATAACACCGTTATTGTCCACAAAAAATAAATACTTTTAAAATCGAATGAATGAAATATCAAATCAATTCGTATCGCAAAAGCTATGATCGACAAATTTATTCATTATAAATTGTAAAAGTAGGAAGTGTGCAAGCAATTAATTGCTTAGAACTCATCACTTCTGGCTTATTCATCCAATGGATCATTCATAAACTTGGAGAATTTCATCATAAAAAAATCATTGCGGATTAGAAATGCAAATAAACCCCAAGCAGCACCAAGTTGTAGATTTTTCCCAACCAATGCCGAAAGATGGTGATTTAAGCCCATTCAGTAATTTATATAAATTCCCTCTACTAAATTTAAAATTTAAAATTTTGATTCAACTTTCAATAAATGATAAAGTAAGCTGGATTTAAGATACAAATTGGCAATAAAAAATGGATAAATTGAAAAACTTAAAAAACTAAAAAAATTGAAGGAACAACCGGACGGTTTCGCTCGTAAATGTAGCAATGACTTACATGGAACACTTGCTGACCTTTTATTCTAGCGAGGTCATCGCATGCTTCTTACGGCTCGCTGAAATCAATTTAATAGTTTATGCTTTGCATTCCTTGTATTTTAGAGGGCACTATTTTTTTATCTACGTTGGTGTTTCTTATAAGAAAATTGTAATATATTATTGTTCTATTATTATTGTAATTTAATTTATTTATTAATTTTTAATCTCTTCTAAATTTCTTTTTTAAATCGTTTCTTATAGAAATAACAGATTAAATTCAATTATAAATTGCTATTTTATCGCATAAAATAGTTTTAAAAATTTTTATGAAGGAAGAAAAAAATAGAAATTAAAAGAAATAAAAAAACAAAAAAACATTAATTATTAAAATAAATATTTGTCATTAGCCAAATTTTTTTTTTATTTCATCTAAGCGAACCTCTTCGAAAATGCGGGTGATGCTGGCGATTCACCTCCAATTCTATCTCCAAGGGAGTCCTCTGATTCTTATAAAATTTCCGCAATCATTTCATCTCCGATCTATAGAAATTTCTAATTTATTAATAACAAACATGAAAAATTAAAATATTAAAAGAAAATCTGATGAGGAAAAGAAAACAGCAACGTCAAAAAGAGCCCTTCATTTATACATCCAAAACTATCGCCTTAAGGTTCGCCTTAATAGTATCAGCCATAATATTTTATTTATTTATCGACAATTAATTTGCAAATTTTGTAAATTATGTAAATTTTGTAAATTCTTTGCAAATTTTTGCTCCTTAAAGACATATTTATGCGATTTTTTGCGAAAATTTTCGATTATTTTTGCAAATTTCTGCAAAAAAAAATTTATCCCAAAAAACTTTTTAAAACCAGTTAAATCAGTTAATTAAAATTAAATTTAAAATCATTTGAATTAAACGCTTATAACACTGAAATGAGTGGAAAGATTTGAGTGGGAATTTTGTGCAAAT